AGGAGACCTGAAAGTGGCACATGGCAGAGTGTGGCGATGGAGGACAGCAGCAATGGGGAGGCCGTACAGGGACCATGAGAGACTCTGGACCTGGCAGCAGCATGAGGAGGCGGTATATAGGGGCCTATGGCAGATTAGGGGCTGGCAGCAGCTATGGGAGGCCGTAATCTGCCAGCACCCTATGTCAAAAAATTCTACACACCAGCAGTGTGTGAGGAGACCTGAAAGTGGCACATGGCATGAGTGTGTGGCAGATGGAGGACGGGTATTAGGGCATGGCAGATTAGGGGGCGCAGCATGGGAGGCCCTATCTGCAGACTATGTCAAAATTAACACAGCAGTGTGAGGAGACTGAAGTGCACATGGCAGGGAGAGACTCTGCTGGCAGCAGCATGAGGAAGCGGTATATAGGGGCCTATGGCAGATTAGGGGCCTGGCAGCAGCTATGGGAGGCCCTAATCTGCCAGCACCCTATGTCAAAAAATTCTACACACCAGCAGATGTTTGAGGCATGATTCATGGCGGATTTAGTCAGTTGTGTCAGGAACTGGTGGTTTGAAATCCAGACTAATCCACGCCTGATTCATTTTCACAAACGTGAGTCTCTCCACACTTTGGGTGGACAGTCGTGTCCTCCGCGGAGTTACAATACCTCCTGCCGCACTAAACACGCGCTCCGATGCCACGCTACTGGCCGGGCATGACAGCCTTTCAAGGGCAAATTCAGCTAGTTGGGGCCAAAGGTCAAGTTTCGTTGACCAGTAGTCAAGGGGATTGTCTACCTCGGTTGGCAGGGTGCTGTCCAAGTAGGCCCAAGCCTGTTGTTTGAGGTCCTGCTCCAGGTCCACTGATGCTGATGCTGCTGCTGCTGCTGCGGCTGGTTAGTAGTTTCCTCACTGCGCTGGTGAAGAAAGCTACTCATCATCGACTGCAGACTGAGGCAGCCGCTGCTGGTGGAGCTGCCACTGCTCCTACCACCCCACCCCTCCCCTGCTGCCATGGCAGCGGAACGCGAGCGCACAGGGCCCACAGTGTCTGAGGATGGACGTTGGCGCACAAAGGCAGAGACCAACTGACTACATAGGTGGTTTTTATAGTACGTTATTTTGGCCTCCCTCTCAGCAGGTGTGAAAAAGGCCACCATTTTGGAACGGTAGCGAGGGTCCAACAAGGTGGACAGCCAAAAGTCATCCCTCTGTCTGATGGTTATTATTCGGCTGTCGCTACGCAAGCAACCGAGCATGCTATGGGCCATTTGTGCCAAGGAATGCGAGGGACTCCCTGCCTCCATCTCCACAGCATACTGCCACGGTGCGTCTGGGTCCTCTGTCTCCTCCTCCTCCTCCTCTACCAGATGCTCCTGCTCCTCCACTCCTGTCCGCTGAGTGGAAAAACCACCCATTTCACTCAATAATTCCTGAGCACAAATGTCCTCCTCTACCTCCTCCTCTTCTTCCTGTCCTGCCCCCACAGGGGTCATGTGGCGTTGAGATCTGTGCGCCACGTCTACCGCACCCTGACCAGCCATTGTTAACAGCATTTGTTCAAGGACGTGCAACAGAGGAATGACGTCGTTCATCCCATAGTCCTGCCGACTCACGAATAGCGTGGCCTCCTCAAAGGGCCTGAGCAAGCGGCAGGTGTCACGCATGAGCTGCCAATGGCTGACATCGAAGTTACACACAGGGGAGTACCTTTATCCGCTTGTAACATCAGGAAATCGGTGATGGCCTTTCGCTGTTCGTAAAGGCGGTCTAACATGTGTAGGGTTGAATTCCACCTTGTTGCAACGTCGCAGATCAGGCGATGCTGTGGAATTCCGTTCTGCCGCTGCAGCTCAAGGAGGGTGTGCTTTGCGGTGTAGGAATGGCTGAAATGCATGCAAAGTTTACGTGACATTTTAAGGATGTCTTGCAGTGGGATGGTGGATTTTAAGAACCGCTTGACAACCAGATTGAACACGTGAGCCATGCATGGCGCATGGCACAACCTTCCTTGACGCAGAGCAGACACCATGTTCTTTCCGTTGTCGGTCAACATGGTTCCGATTTTCAGTTTGCGCGGAGACAGCCATCTGTCGATTTCTCTGTTCATTACACTCAGAAGTTCCTCCCCTGTGTGACTACGTTCGCCAAGGCATACCAGGTGCAGAACAGCGTGCGTGACACCGTTGCGCCCTGCACATGTGATATGCCGGTCGGGTAATGGGACTTGGCACGGGGGTGGCGGCGGCTGAGGACACGGCGGAAGAAGAGGTGGTAGAGGCGGACATCTTTGCCGGACCAAGGACGTGCAAACGTGGAGGCAAAGCGGCGGCGTGACCTGTCCAAGTTGCTGGTGCGGCTGTGACGGCACCACGTTCACCCAGTGGGCCGTAAATGACATGTACTGTCCCTGACCATAGTTACAGCTCCACACGTCGGCGCTGCCGTGCACTTTGGCAGAGACCGACATGCTCAAAGACTGGCCCACCATGTCTTCTACATGTGAATGCAGGGCTGGCACTGCCTTTTTGGCGAAGAAATGACGGCTTGGCACTCTCCACCGCGGCGCGGCACAAGCCATCATTTCTCTGAAAGGTGCTGAGTCCACCACTTGGAAAGGGAGGGACTGCAGCACCAGCAACTTGGACAGGAGGACGTTCAGCTTTTTGCACCGTCGGGTGCGTGCTCGCAAACTGTTGTCTCTTGGAAACGGATTCCAAGAAAGACTGCTGACGGGAATCCGTGAAGAGGAGTAGCAGGAGAAGGAGCATCTGAACGAGCGGAAGATGCCAACGAGCGACAACTCCCCTCAGCAGAGGTGTTGGAGCCTTGACTGGCTGATGGAGGGCGATTGACGTCGGGTGACGGAGCAAGTAACGGAGGAGCGGGGTGATGGAGATGGCGGGGGCTGGGGCGGGCAGAAACCGCCGTATCTTTATCACGGTTTTCCAGGCCACCAAAAATGGCGACGCTGCATATGCTGCCGCAACGCTGTAGTCCCAACATGGGCCCCCTGGCCACGCTTGACTTTCTCTGGCCACATAGTCGACATACGGCTACGTTTACTTCCTCGGGCGGCTTGACGAAAAATTGCCACACCGCCCGAGTAGGAAACTTTGCCCCCGATACTCCTCACTGGCTGACTGCTGCTTCCTCCGTGCACACCGGCACCACTACTGGCCGTGGTGGTAGGCTGCAGTGGAGCTGGTGCTCTACTCCGTGGCCGTTTGGCTCCACTGACACTGCTGCGACTGCGACCCTGCTGCTGTCTCCTGGGCAACCCACCGACTGTTTTGCTCGCTGCCAAGCTGCCACCCTCTTCTCCTGATGATGCGGAAGAAATTGCCTGATGACGACGAGGCTGCCAAGTGCGATCAACCTCCTCATCATCAAGTAGGGTCTCCGCCTCACTACTAGCCCCCTCGGGCTGCGTCTGGGTCAGGAGACAGACCTGTCTCTAGACCGGCTACCGAGCCACTCTCCTCGCCACTACTTCTTCGCCTGGCTGCTGAAAAGGCGGATGTCTCCCCCCGTTCCTGACCCGCCCTCTGTTAGCTCTTCCTCACTGTACAGTGGGGCTGAGCCCACAGCATGCGATACTTCGCTTGGTGAGGGGAACACCAAAGGACAGGGGCAGGTAGAGGAGGACACGTGATTTCAGTGGGCTTGGTCCCGGGCCATGCCAACTAACGGTTGTGTCTGACGTACCCACCGACCGTTGGCTGTAGGTGTCAGAGGTGACCTGGGAAGAGGAAGACGACCGAGCCAACCAATCGATGACGGCAGGGTTGTCGGTGGAGACACGACCGCTGGATGACACCCGGGAGCACTGGCCTCTGGCTGCGAATAGTGCTGCCTCGACCCCTTCCTCTGCTGCCACGTCTGCTCGCTCCTAAAACATTGCCTCCTCTGCCACTCCTCTGCATGTTGTCTGACATACTCTTTAATTAAACGATTATGTGTCCCTGAGTAACAATTCTGTGTCCCTGAGTAACAATTCTGTGTCTGTGCGAGTAACAATTCTGTGGCCCTAAGTAACAGTTCTGTGGCCCTCAGTAACAATTCTGTGTCCCTGATTAACGTTTCTGTGGCCCCAAGTAACAGTTCTGTGGCCCTCAGTAACAATTCTGTGTCTGTGCGAGTAACAATTCTGTGTCTGTGCGAGAAACAATTCTGTGGCCCTAAGTAACAGTTCTGTGGCCCTCAGTAACAGTTCTGTTTCCCTGAGTAACAATTCTGTGTCTGTGCGAGTAAGAATTCTGTGTCTGTGCGAGTAACAATTCTGTGGCCCTAAGTAACAGTTCTGTGGCCCTCAGTAAAAGTTCTGTGGCCCTGAGTAACAATTCTGTGTCTGTGCGAGTAACAATTCTGTGTCTGTGCGAGTAACAATTCTGTCTGTGCGAGTAAACAAGTAACACAATTCTGTGGCCCTAAGTAACGGTTCTGTGGCCCTCAGTAACAGTTCTGTGTCCCTGTGTAACAATTCTGTGTCTGTGCGAGTAACAATTCTGTGGCCCTAAGTAACAGTTCTGTGGCCCTCAGTAACAATTCTGTGTCCCTGATTAACGTTTCTGTGGCCCCAAGTAACAGTTCTGTGGCCCTCAGTAACAATTCTCTGTCTGCGAGTTCTGTGCTGTGCGAGTAACAATTCTGTGTCTGTGCGAGTAACAATTCTGTGGCCCTAAGTAACGGTTCTGTGGCCCTCAGTAACAGTTCTGTGTCCCTGTGTAACAATTCTGTGTCTGTGCGAGTAACAATTCTGTGGCCCTAAGTAACAACAGTTCTGTGGCCTCAGTAACAATTCTGTGTCCCTGAGTAACAATTCTGTGTGTCTGTGCGGTAACAATTCTGTGGCCCTAAGTAACAGTTCTGTGGCCCTCAGTAACAATTCTGTGTCTGTGCTGAGAGTAACAATTCTGTGTCCCTGAGTAACAATTCTGTGGCCCTAAGTAAAGTTTCTGTGGCCCTAAGTAACAATTTCTCTGGCACTCAGTAACAATTCTGTCTGTCCCTGTAGTAACAATTCTCTGGCACTCAGTAACAATTCTGTCTGTCCCTGAGTAAAAATTCTGTGGCCCTAAGTAAAGTTTTCTGTGGCCCTGAGTAACAATTATCTGGCACTCAGTAACAATTCTGTCTGTCCCTGAGTAACAATTCTCTGGCCACTCAGTAACAATTCTGTCTGTCCCTGAGTAAAAATTCTGTGGCCCTAAGTAAAAGTTTCTGTGGCCCTGAGTAACAATTTCTCTGGCACTCCAGTAACAATTCTGTCTGTCCCTGAGTAACAATTCTCTGGCACTCAGTAGTAACAATTCTGTCTGTCCCTGAGTAAAAATTTCTGTGGCCCTAATTAAAGTTTCTGTGGCCCTAAGAGTAACAATTCTGTGGCACAGTAACAATTCTCAGTAACAATTCTGTGTCTGTCCCTGAGTAACAATTTCTGGCACTCCAGTAACAATTCTGT